GCTCTCTAATGATATTGTATGAATGAAATAAAGACAAATCTGGCAGTAAATGGGACCATGGACACTGGGTACTCCTTGGGAGAGCAACGAGAGTGGTTGGTAGCGACACACCCTGGACAGGTAATTGGGTGGTTAGCGGACACACCCTGCAAATTAAGTGGGGCGGTTAGCGGACTCAAACCGCAAATTAAAACACAAACACAAAGTGGGGCGGTTAGCGGACCCACACCCCACAGCAGAAACTGTGCAGTTGGCGGGCGCACTCAGAGATAATAAATGAGGGCAGAAAGCCTTGAGCGGTTAGTCGACACAGCCAGTGAATGAATTGGGGTGATAGCGAACTTACCCAGAGAACGAAGTCCCCCAACCTAGCTACTTTTAGGTTGCTAAAACTAAGGTGGGGTAAGGGAACCACCCAGCCTGACGCACGCGATAGGTTAGTGGAAGGTGTGCACCCAAATTATGCCCCAAATACTGCCAGGTAAGTAGTGAAAAATATTAATATAACTTTAACGAGGTCTACATTGTCCTGTGCTTGGATCCCAAGCTTGTCGTGGGGTACTATGGGTGGTGGCCAGCTGGGCAGGGACTGCTTGGAGTATTGAGGCAGGTTTCTTGATGTATTGAGTGTACTGTCCCTGGTGAGAAATGCCCTGATGAGGAGAAATAAAGGGGGTTGGAATTGCCTGAAGGCTGGTGAGCCAGGTAACAGCGCATTGCCTGTATTGCACAGACCGAACGGCCAGAATGGTGAGCGTAATGGAACAGCCCATCCGGAAGGGATCAGTTTTGGATGATTTCAGGTACAATGATAAAGATTTATCGGAGGTAAAACTGATGTCTGAGCGGACAGGTGTATCAGCGGGTTGAATTAAATTGAAAATGGTGAGGTGAACTCGCTCGAACGTAATAAGGCAAAGAAGGCCAGAGTAAAGGCTGACCAGAGTATGAGTTTGTCCTGCGATGCGATCCAAGGGTCATCTGCCAAAGGTCCTTTTAGCTGGTGCTTGACTGATATGGTGATAGGTAGACAGCGGCGCGAGAAGAGTCCAATTGTCCGCTTGATAACTCGTAGAAGTAAACGAACGAGGGGGGCATCTACAAACGGGACTGCAAGGCTGTTTTCGATGTGGGCTAACCAGATACCAACCAGATATACCTAAAATTTAAAAACGATCTCTGGCTGAAACGATTAAAAAAAATTACAAGCTTTCGACTGCCTGAACTACAGTCTTCGACGGGTAAAATGTGAATGGCAAGAAGCCAAGAAAATTGAATAAAAATACATGAAATTACAAAAAAATAAAAATGCAAATAATTATGAATGTTTGTTAAAAAAAAAAAAAATTATATTGCCCAGGTATAGTGCACATGAATTGACAGCTACCTTGATTTTAATTCTCATCATGACAGTAAACATAAGGCCAGAACAGATGTAACTCTTTTGCCTTGCGCATCCCTACTGCGCACGATTTTCACGTCATTAACACGCGCTCACGAGCGCGTGCATATACACAACACAAAGCGTCGTTTTTTCTCGGAAACGAGCACCGGGACCTAACGATTTTTTTTAAATTTAGTTTGAAGGTACAGATCACCTTCTTTCTATACAGTGAATATAGACCAATTTCTATAGCAGAGTAAAAAACGGAAAATGAAGGCATAGCTAGCACTCGTAAAAGATAATATGTGCCCTTAAGAACACTGTGTGCTTGGAATATATAGAATCCCTGTCGACTAAATATGGGTGCTTTTATCATGAAATGTACATCCATTGTTGTATTTCTCGCTTAACTTTATGCCTATTTTTCCGCTCTCACAAAGCGTAAAGTGAGCGGTTCAAATATAAATGTTTCTAAAAGTAGATAATCTAAAGAATTATGGGGTTTATTGAAGGTGTTCCTGTTCCTAAATGAATACTGGGACTCCGTTTTTCATTTCATAATTTGATATAAGCATTGATAAAAATAATAATGTGGTTTTAGAACAACAAAGACACTGGAAGCGTGGCATATCAAACAGACTCCCAATGTATGGGACAATATAACATTCTTTTTTAACAAACATTCATTTTTTTTTTTTTTGCGTTTTTATTATTTCGGGATTTGACGAATTTTTATTCAATTTTTTTCTTTTTCTTCGCCTCTTGTCATTCCCATTTTATCCGTCGAAGACTGTAGTTCAGGCAGTCGAAAGCTTGCATGTTTTTAAATTGTTTCAGACAGAGATCGTTTTTAAATTTTATTATTTTTTATCCTCGTGCGGCCCCTCAATATTTTCACGAGGCCTTTATCAACTAATCCGACTGGGTGATGTAAACTTTTCAGTTTGCAGTAAGCAAAGTGATGCTATGGAAAGGTGGCAGAATTTGTGGTGCAGTGCTACCCTTCGAGATAGACAGAAATTTCTTTTAGTATTTTACTTTCACGACCCCCTCTAAAGAATTCTTTTTGCGACATCACAAAAATTGATCCAGAGTAAAAGAATAATTTTACACAGATGCTGTCCTTTTCAAGCTCTTGAGACGTAAGACTGGTAACAGTTGTAATGGGAGCACAACAGATTTGCTTTTTGTGTTTACATGATAAGTAAATCGTCGTCCACACTACTAACAGTTAAATACTTAATTTTTACTTCTAATTGTAACAGATCAGAGAGAAGAAGAGCAACAAGACCAGCAGGGAATAGAGGATAATGTACAACATGATGATGTGGAAGGTATTTTTTACGCAATTGGTTTCACAAATGATACTAGAAACTAACCATGGTCATCTCTTATTCATTCTGAACAATGAGTTATGAAGCAATTTCTGATTGATTGATTTGTGGGTTTTGTTTGCTTGCTTCTTTGTTTTTTCCAAGGAGTTGCCGAGGGTAGAATGATAGAGTTGGCACCTGTTGGCTTGCCTCCACCAGAACAAGGTAACTTATTTTTTTGGTTATTTATGTTCGTTTGTTTTTTTCTTTTTCCCTGGAGGATATCTTTGAACCAAATATTCTGAAATCCATTGCCATTAAAATAAACAGCAAAATTTATCACGACCGGCTATATTTTTGGTGATGACGGCCCATATGATTTACTTGTTATTACGTGTACTTTTTTAAGACTCATATTTTTTGTTACTGGAAGCTTTATGCAAGAGACGACAAGATCATCGTCTCTCTTGCTTTATGCCTGTCTTAAGGTTAGTACATAAAAGGCAATATATGGCACTCATGCGAAAGATTTGCTGGCTATTTTGCGATAGTTTTAGTACCTTTCAACCCCGCGAAAAAAAGGCAAAGAGACAAAAGGCAACAAAACCAGGAGGGAATAGATGAAAATGAAGAACCCGATGGCATGGAAGGTATTTTTTTCAGTTATTTGATACACAATTATCATCGTAATCTGATTGGTTGCCTTTGTTTGCTTTCTTCTTCATGTGTGTCAAGGAGAGGCCGAGTGCGGGGGGATAGAGTTGGCAGTTGTCGGTTTGCCTCCTCCAGAACAAGGTAGTTTATTTTTTGATAATTTTTCTTTTTTTTTCTTTTGTAAGATTATTTTCCTTTTCTCTCTCTTCTCACAAACTGATCCGACATTATCTAATTCCTATTGTGTTTAGCCTGCCACAAGTCCCTTATTTTTCCCAGTGTTAGGCTCTACCCACAATGTGTCGGGGAATTTGAAAATGAAGGTTTCACTCGGAAAACGCATCAAATGTTTTCCATCCACTTTACACCAAAGGAATTTAATAACATGACAATCACTGGCTATTTTGGATTTGTGGTTGAGGAAAACTCGGTCGGGAAAATCACATGATTATCGTGACGCCGTCGTTTTGCAAAATGTTTTCCGGCTTTGAAGAGCGTTTTCAAAAAAGCTGTTTTGTAATGAATGCTCCCTTAGTCGAGGGTGCGAGATAATCACTTGCACGTGAAATACTAGTGGCTCAACTTAGTCGAGTGGCCAAGCCCGTGAAGATGAGACTTGTAGTGGCAGAGAAAGATACCAAGTTTTTTCTTTGTACCACATTGTACAATAGTTCAACGGGTTCAGGGAATAGAACAACTATTTTTCAACTCGTGGTAAGACAATAAGACCGTAATGCTTTCATATAGAGATTTTTTTTTTGTTTTCAGAACAAGCTTCTGCTCACTGTAGGTCTGCCTATATCTTCCCTGTGTGTTTTTATCTCCTCTAGTCGAAAGTAAATATTTCTTCCCATACATTCAATTCTATCTAACAGGTTTCACCTGCACGTTGTTCTCTCTGCGAGTAAGGAAATTAAACAGAACAATATGACCACTTTTGATCACACTGAGAAAATAATTGTTTATCAAAGACAGCAAATAAAATGTAGAATAACACTGGAAATTGCGATGTCACTTGGTGCTCTTCTGTAAGGTAGAAATGACTCGTTTTAACTGCTCTGTGAGGAATATCACTGACTCACTAACACACTTTGAAACTGCATGGTTAATTCTCTTTCTTTTTTAAATGCAGAGCAAAGAGAAAAAGATGTTTCTGTTGTTCGAGGTAAATCATTGATGATGCATTACATTGCCAATAAACACAAACTTCAACTACTCTTTTGAGCATTCATATGGAACAGTTATCTTGCTTTACTGTAGGACCTGCTCACAGATAAGTTGAAGTGGCAACTGGTTAGTGCGCGCTAACTAGTTACGCAATGTTTCGAGGCACATAAAATATCCTGCATCAAGTAACAGGATTTTTCAGTAACCACAAGAATGTTAAAGCGAACATGTTTACAAAGACAAAGTCGAATGGGATATTCAAGACCAGTGTGCTACGAAAAACTTTACTGAAGTTATCTATTCTATGCCTCTGATTTGTAGCTATTTGTGTATAATAGTTGCTTCAGGGACAATATAGCAAAGAATACCAGTTCCACCAGAACTGGGAGTATTTTAAGAACTTCTCAAATTAATAGAAACTTTGGGATAGGCTAGCCTTTCCCCCCCCCCACCCCCCCCGGAAAGAATATATGTAAATAAGAAGCCGTATATTTTTTTGCATGCATGTGCAAAAGCTTAAGGATTTACAATCCATAACTGTTTTCTTTATAGTTTGCGAGTTTCGGTTGTTGTTTGGCAAATTACTTGACGTCTGGTCAACATTTTCCTTCTATACTCACTCACTCAATCCCATGATGCCCAGTGGCACATGGGGCCTCAACGAGGTGCCTCCAGATCTCTCTGTCTTGGGCTAGTCTTGTGGCTCTCTCCCAACAAATACCAGCACTCCTCACTTTCCTTTTATAGCATCAGCTTTTATCATCAACATTTTTCTCGCAAATTTGAACTGAATCGAATGACTTTCTCATTTGCTACCAGCTACACTTTAGGTGTGACAATGTCGTGCCGGTATTAACCGTTCTGAATATAACCTGTTGAACAATGCCGAATATGCAATGGCCTACTAGCTAGCCTGTAGTTTAGCTGTATTCTTAAACGCATAGCTAAAACAATGCTTACGTTATGTTTTTTTTTTTTCTTTCAGCAGACGTACGAAAAAGGACTACAATTCGTCTTGTTTTGCCAGCCTCGTCTTCCAGTAAGCTGCAACAATATCTATGTTTGAGAAACAAACTGAGTGGAGTGGAGTGGAGTGTGCTCTTGATGGAGTGTCTAATTAGTGCAGGTCACAGTTAAACACGCGAGTCGCAAATAGACAGCGCGGGAGGCAAAATCAAAATCTTTATTTCAGGTTTGTTGCTTATCATTATTTTTTGAGTGATCCGTGCTGTTTTCCCGCGACCAGCGCTGATTAGGTACGCCCACAAATTTAGGTTTTAAAAACACACTCTTTTTTCGCCAATAATATAGAGAATTTGTGCAAGGAGTATTGTTCTCGACTTTCTTATTAGTCCATAGCTACATTAATATTTGGCATTTTTGTTTTGTCTAAATGCAGAACAAGAAACTGAGGAGAGTTTGGAACCAGGTGACACTCAGCCTAAGTTGTCCTCGCAAAAAAGTAAGCAAGAACCGTGTTATTTAAAAATACCAAAGAACTTCATTGACTTCATTGCATTATTTAATTGCCAAAAAGACACAATAGCAGTGTTTGTCTATCAAACAGTCTTAGTTTCGAAAATCGTTTTAAAAAACACCCTGCAGCAAAGCTAACAGAGAAAAGTAGACCAGTCAAGACTAACTCTGGGCAACATTATTTCGTTGGTATGAATAATAACATTAATTAGTCATGCATTTTTAAAAAAAACATAGTGCATGAATAAAGAAGGAAACATAACATTAATACTTTAATGTCGTATAACATTGTGCAGATGGGCAAAATTGAAAGGAATCCCACAAACTCGTAGCTTCGATATTCTTTGTTGCACTATCAGTCGTTTTTAAATTGCCTGACATATTGAGCGATAAGCTGTCTGTTCATTTACCAAGTTGAATGGTTAACTGACTGCCTGGCTATTAGATGTGACTCAGGAACGGAGGAAGGAAGCAAGGAAGGGAGGGAGGAAAGAAGGAATTAAGAAGGAGCGAGAAAAATAGAGAGGGGAAGAGACAGAGAGATGGATGGGTAGATAGATGAGTGGGCAGGTGGACGAACGACAGGTGGATGGATGGATGAAAGAATGTTTGGAGGGACTGAGACAGGAAAGGATAGATGGGCAAGAGAAAAATCATCTTCTCTTGATAGATGGATTAATCGACCATGACCTGATCATGCATGTGATTTTGTTTTATTTCTTTGATTAAACAGAACAAGAGGGCGGTAAAAAGCTCAACCGTGCAAAATGCAAACCAAAAACAGATGATTCATCTTCCACTGGTTCCAAAGGATCTCTTGGAGAGGAAAGTGTTACTTATGAAACAGCATTGTAATAAGTAAGCAAAATGAACAAGTGGCATATGATTATTCTAAAAAGATCCATGTAGCTATGGTATGTGATACTACTTAAATGTAACTAGCATAGTAACTTGAAGACAAGGCATGAACAGAATTTGCATAGATTTACCTGGGCATTTNAAGCTCAACCGTGCAAAATGCAAACCAAAAACAGATGATTCATCTTCCACTGGTTCCAAAGGATCTCTTGGAGAGGAAAGTGTTACTTATGAAACAGCATTGTAATAAGTAAGCAAAATGTACAAGTGGCATATGATTATTATAAAAAGATACACGTAGCTATGGTATGTGATACTACTTTAATGTAATTAGCATAGTAACTTGAAGACAAGACATGAACAGAATTTGCATAGATTTACCTGGGCATTTTTCATTAGGTGCCATTATCATCCTTGGAAATGCTGCATGATAGAAAATCTAAGAAGATCGGTACTTTAGTGGCTAGTTTTTCGCTGTATCTCCAGAATAGGAAATGTAACATTTTCTTTTGGAAAGTTATAGTTTACCAACTTGTTTCCAAAATATCAAGCTGTGGTTGTGTCAACGAATGTGAATCTGTTTCTATTTGCCAACTGTCGCCCTTCGTTGGGTGGTCCTCGTATAAACAGCATTGATAGGCATGATTAAAATGATCCATTCCCAATAATGGCAGCTCCTTGTATGCTAAAAGTTACATTGTTCGATCATTACAACGTTATAAACCAGGGATATATTGTAGTCATATATTGTAGACCCTTGTTGCTGTTTTCAGCTTTTTGACCGACATTTTAGACTAGAACTGTATATAACACAAGCTTTGTTATGACTGGAACAAGGGGTCCCCGAAGCAGATGATAGAGCATTTTGAGGGTATAGCAACACATATTTTCCAGAGAGCCCCCTGCGAACATCATACCATATATCACTAATTTAAACAATTGCCACTGATTAAGAGTTTTGATAGTTGATATTGTTCATTGTGAAGGTATTATTTCTGATGAGAAAACCGAATTTTAGTTTAAAGCAGTTAGAGAAGTTTAGAGAAGTTATGTACATCTTCCTCACATCTTTCCTATTTCACTCTGAATTTTTCTTAACCTAAGATTAAGTGTAAAACGTTACTAAAAGAGGATACATAGGAAGACTGAATCAAACTCGATTCTCTTGGAACAGAAGAATTAATATGTTGATTGAACGTGTAGTACCAGCATGATGAAAAAATATTTCTTTCTGTACTTCATATTTACTTCAGTCCAAGCGGTATTTGCCGGACTTGCACTACTCGGTTGCCCTCAATCCATCGGTCCGTTGACAATATCAGCGGGGGATTTATAACCCAATAATAGTGCACTAATGACTTAAACTCAACACTTATTAAGTGGTTAATTTTGTTTAGCACCCTTGTAGAGGGCAATTTTCGTTGTGAGATGAGTTTTGTTGCATGTTTAACTCATTAATGTCAAACTGGACATTTTTAGGATTATAAAGTTGACACTTCAGGGTTATTGTACACAGTGTGGTTAATTTGTTTGCACAATGTGCATTACTTAGTACAGGTACGCGATACTTAAGGAGAGCTTCAGATGTTAATCATTTCTCAACAATCATTGAATGAAACTGTGCCCACGGCTAACTATGCATGCTTAAATTAAGCAGTAAAGGAATAATTTACATCAAAGAGCACAGCCTACCGGGTATATTTTAACAGGTGGATGAACAAGATGATGATACACACGCTGTGGTTTCTATATTAGGTTGAGATTCTGAACCAACTAAACTGTGCAGGCAAGCAGACGTTCAAACTGAGTTTAATTTAGATACGTTAAGCACAATATTACTAGGAAAGATAAGAAATTAACCAAAGCAGAACTACGATACATGATTGCTGAATAATAAATGCCTAGAGGAAGAAAGACATGATTAAGTACTGCAATCAAACCTGGAGAAATCGGACATATATTACCATCATCTTATTCATCTGTCCAATGTCAAGGTGTAAGGCACTAGGCCGCTAAAGTGCACAAATCAAACACTTTAACTCCTATTTAGGGTTCACTTTTGTCTAACGGCCTTTCCCGAACTTTTCACATATAGTAATATATAGCATTGTGACATTACTGGATCACTTAAAAGTTAATTTCGTTTTTCATTTACAAAATATTTCACTAATTAAAGATAATTGCTGTTAATACAATTTTCCGAAGTGAAGTAAGAGTCAGGTATTCTGGTCGGTCGACAAGCTCGGCTTATGACGCTATAGTCATTGCTCTTAGTATTAAGGCCTGTTTACTAACCTACGACACGGCCAGGCTAGTAAACATGCCACACAGTCGGTGAATGAGATTAATTTTCATTCATTTGAATGACATCACTTCACTTGCGTTTGTTGTTTCCATATTTTGTTGTTCTTGCCATTTATCACTGAAAATTGTATTAAAACAATTGTTTGCCTCAGGTCAAGTGGATATTTGTGAATGTAATTGTTAAAAAAAGTAATTAACTGGTGCCTTTCTTGCTTGTGAATGTTGCACCTGCAAGCGGGCGTTCTCATATACGTCTATCTAAAGGGCACCTGATCGCACGTTATGCGTTCGTTGACTATAAATATAAACAAAAAACAAAAAGAAAAAAGAAACACCTAGGAGACGGTTTTTACTTAGACACATACTATAAACTGCTATTACCGGCTCAGTTGTAACTGCTTTATTTATGAGCAATAAGAAGATAAAGTAAAGCCATATAT